TCTTAAATATTTTACTTTAATTTAGAACTTGTAGACTTAAGACATATTCATCTAATACCTCAGTTGGAAATACTTCCCCTCAGCCTACGTATGATATTAAAGTACAGTTTTACAATTAAATTAGATTATAAATATTTATTTACCTATATCCATTATTAAATGCAGTTAATGGATGAGTTTCACATTGATATGTCATAGACTAATGTGAGACAATGACAAACAAATACTAAAATTTGATTTGTTTTGATTGTCATTTGGAAGTTGGATTTATTCACATTTTTGATAGAATCATGAGTTTGCCAGATATTTAAAATCTGCATCTCTCATTTGGTTAAATCTGTGTTAATATAGTTTTTTGTTTTAATATAGTTTTAGTTAGCATAGTTTTTAACTTGTAAATAAAGATATCTCCCCTACCAGGGAAAGTGTTTAAATGGTGTTACATTCCTCTGCCTCTCTACAGGGTTCTTTTGAGCCCCGCTGTAAATTGTTTCTGACAGAGGATTAATCTATTATGCTAAATTCAGTCCCTTTTTCCACTTTGCTGGTATTTACCCTACTTTGTCTCTGTTTTTCTAATGTTAATGTTTTTTAATGATGCTCGATGCTCAAAATAAAATGGAAGCCTTTTCAAAGTTTTTTTTTATAGCTTCCTTACTATGTTTTCCTTATAATACAGTCTTTTTGTTAGTAGCAACCAGCGATTTAATAGAAGACATTACTTTTCTGGAATAAAAAATTAGCACAGTTTTCACCCATTTCTTTTATGATAGGCAGGACATTTCTCTCTATTCACATTATGAATATATGTAATGATTATGTGCACAATTAAGAACAAATAACATGGAATCTTTTTTATTATGAGTTTAATGATATTATTACTCACTTATACAGAGAGTTTTTTTTAAAGATTTTATTGAAGACATTCAGCTAGCAATAGCAGGTAAATAAGATATGCTTTGGCTCCATCTTAAGGCCTTCTTCTCTCATTACAGCTGGTACACAAGTTACCTCAGCATTACAGAAGACAAGCAATCAGCGCTGGGATAGCACTCTAAAACAGACTATTTCTGCAGCAAGCAAATAATGTGAAAGGTGTCAGATCAGAATATAATCTGAGGAGTTTATCCATTACTCGAGCTTAAATCCTACAATCTCTGCTCCGCCGTGGACTTTAATGAACTGGTACTTCACATCTCCCAGGCGGTTGGGGAAGTTCATCATGGTACCATCTGGAAGTTTGATGTAAAACTGCTTACTGTTAAAGTTGACGTACAACTGTAGATCGTTTAAAAAATGAGAGAAAAAAATTGTTTAAATAAGAAGAAAATGGGAACCACAAATTAGCACTGTTAAAATGTGTGTTTTACAGCAGAATATTAAATTAAGTTTCTGTTCTATTTAAAAAGAAAAAAAACTTTGTTTCATATTGCAGCTAAGGAGGAATCAGTTCAGAGTATTTGTTATTTTATAAAAAAAAAAAAAATGAATAATCTATATGTTCCTATCGTTATAATTAAATAAAATATATAGAAAATGACCTGGCTGCACTAATGTCTTATGTTATTTTTCGGCACTTATCTTGATAATCTCACTTGATAATATATTTAAATTATGGAATATTTTCCAGACTTTACAGAAAGAAAAGCTGTCATTCTTTTGACAGCTTGATATTTCATATCTTCTACAATGGGCTCTTTTAATATGTTTCTGTACAAGATAATGTCTGCTTAAGTCTAATTTCACAAATTTCTGAGAGATTTTCTGTTATTTTTATCTATGTATTTGTTGATTTAAAAAAAAAAAAATGATTCCACAAACCTTGCCTTCCTCCCCACGCACAAATGGGAAAAACCCTTCATGCTGCTCTTCACCCCAGCTCCCTCCAGACATGGAATTGCAGACGATAATGTTCTCGGCTCCTCCATAATCGAAGCGAGGGTTGAAGTGCATTGCGAGGTTCTCAGGATCATGACCGATGTCGATCATAAATCTATGGCAGAAACAGAAACAGGTAAGGCCAAAGAAGGGGAAAGAAACACATTGCCATAAACTTGTATTATACTGTGCTGATTCCTCATGAGGAAAATTGAGCTTAAATCTACATATCCAAGCAGATAAAGATTTATTGAACCTATGCAGAAGTATGTGCATACCTATTACAGTCATCATGAGGCCTGACTCGGATCTCTAACTCCTGCCCCATCTTGAATGTAATGCCTTCGAATATCTGTGAAAAAAGGGGTGAGAAATGAATGCAATTGATAATGTATTTAGTTTATTGGGGCAAACACCGAATTTATACTTACTACAGATGAAAATCATTTATCATTAAAAAGTAGAACACTTTTGGCGAATGCTTTTTCTTCTTCACAAAAATCTAATTTAGGCTGATAAGTAATTTTATGTCACTAATGTATCAATAGTCTTTTTCTTAGCAATGACTATAAACAAACCCTGATAAAAGGGATGTGAAGCTCTGTTCTTATCTCAGCAGTTGATGATCAACCAATGTTAAAATTCTGAAAATATTAGCACATTGTGATAAAGTTCATTATTTTCCATAATGTAATGATAAAACTTAAACATTCATATAGTTTAGATTCATTCCATACTAACTGAAATATTTCAGCTATTTTATTGTCTTAATACGGATGATTTTGGCATACAGCTCATAAAAACCCAAGATACCTATCTCACAAAATTAGCATATCATGAAAAAGGTCTCTAAATGAGCTATACACCTAATCATCTGAATCAACAAATTAACTCTTAAAATCCTGCAAAAGATTCCTGAGGCCTTTAAAACTCCCAGACTGGTTCATCACTCAAAACCCCAATCATGGGTAAGACTGCTGACCTGACTGCTGTTCAGAAGGCCATCATTGACACCCTGAAGGAAGAGGGTATGACACAGAAAGATATTTCTGAACCAATAGGCTGTTGCACAACGAGAAGAGGTGACCGGACCCTGAGGAAGATTGTGGAGAAGGGCCGATTCCAGACCTTGGGGGACCTGCGGAGGCAGTGGACTGAGTCTGGGGTAAAAACATCCAGAGCCACCGTCCACAGGTGTGTGCAGCAAATGGGCTACAGGTGCCGCATTCCCAAGGTAAAACCACTTTTGAACCAGAAACAGCACCAGAGGCGCCTGACCTGGGCTACAGAGAAGCAGCACTGGACTGTTGCTCAGCTTTGCATGTAATTTGGAAATCAAGGTGCCAGAGTCTGGAGGAGGACTGGGGAGAAGGAAAAAATGCCAGAAGTCCAGTGTCATGTACACTCAGTCAGTGATGGTCTGGGGTGCCATGTCAGCTGCTGGTGTTGGTCCATTGTGTTTTATCAAGGGCATGGTCAATGCAGCTGGCTATACCAATATTGTTAAATATTAACCCAGCCAAAACAGGTTATTGTATACGTTTGTGATGTAAAAAGCACCTTTTCTAAATGTTTATAACTTAAATAGCGGAGAAAAAATACACCAATACAAAATATTCTTAATGAGTAATTTCTTTCTTTTGTCTCAACAACTTTTGAGACAGGTGTCCTGTAAGTTTTTGTGAACGTAAAAGGAAGTGTCTGAAAAAGGCTTTGCACAAGAATCGCACAGATTTTAAACACTCATTTGCTAAACATTTGCTAAAACAATAATGCACAAACACTGAATCAAAACCAAATACACTAATTGATGCTTTGTTTTTTTCGATCAGTGGACAAAATCTTTCAACTTCAACACACATTACTAAATAGATCTGAATTAAGCCTTAAATACTTAACGAATTAAGGATGTTTAAATACTAAAGTCTAACCCAGATATATGTTTAAAGTTAAGCAGTTAAGCTCAACTTAACTTTTTGCACTACTTACGATCTTGGCTGTCATCAATAGGCTTCCCTTGAGTGACAAAGTTTCTAATGCTGACTTTATATAAGCCTGCTGAGGCTAGGGGGAGGAAGCGGGGTAATAAAAGTAGGCAGGTAGAGTAGGTACATTTATGACTATGAGTTTTTAATTCCAAAGAGCATAAACATTTACATCTGTATTTTTTTCCAGGGATGCCAGAAGTCATTCTTTTGACATTAGAATCAAGATTTCTGAACTTAAAACCAGCTTAAAACCAGCTTTTCATGGATTTCATGTATTCAGCAACCTTAATTTTCAATGTAATAATCCTGTTGTTTTCCTCTTTTTTGTGTGACATCAGTTTTATTCTGGTTTATCCCACTTTTTTTTATCCCACCTGATCCAGATCTCAGCAGAAGCTTTTCTCAAAACTTGAAACCTCTGATTGTAGTTAGAACAACTTTAATACCAGTAAATGAGAGGTGGCAGCATTTGAAGTCCCTAAAAGGAGAGTGTGCTCCAATGAATAGGCCTACTGTAAAAAGATGATTTATTGCCAGTGCTGTAAATTCAAATCTTAGTTTTTATATTATTTATGTACGCATTTGAATTCTCGATATGGCACCCCAAATGTTGTGTACGTGTCATGGAATTGAGATACAATAACATATAATTGTGCAGCTGTCAGGGGAAGTCTACTTGAGTGGGCGTGGTTTTAAAGTCATGCTGCACTCAGTTACATTCGTTTATTTGTTTTCAAGTCCCAGTATTGGAAGTTTAATGCTCAAAGAACGAAATAATATTCTTGAGCATTTTCCTGTTCATTCGTAAATTTAAGTGAAATTCTTTGATATGATAAACTTAGTGGAAATTCGCTTGACCTGAGAAATTTTTCAGCCAAAGTTAAAAAAATTTTTGCATTTCTTTATTTATTTTCAGACCAAGACGACAAAAGACAAAGCTTCTCTGTATTTCTTTTTAGCCTTAGTATCCAAATGGCCTATGTAACATTCTCAAGCAAGAATATAAATAGCATTTAGGTTCAACTGGTGTTACTTTTTGAAAATAAACAGGTGAATGCGTTATGTCCAATTTTCATAAATGCAACATGAGCTTTCTGTTTTATGACGTGTTAAGATGGAGCCAATCCTTGCCTTCATTTTCCTTATGGGCGGGACAAACATTGTAAGCCCAGAAACCGAAGCCAAATAGAATAAACAACAAAGTTAGCTGTTCTATTAGCTTTTATTTACTGGTATGCTTTTAACTAATTACAACATTTAACAGAGTCTATCTTTCTTTACTCGAAAACAAAATTTAAAAGTCATTTATATGTGGACGATATGTCGCGTCTCTTAAGTTTTAAATGTTGTTTTACTTCCAAGTTTGGTGTTTGGGGAGTGTTAGCCAAGGCTAGTTGATAGTCAGACGAACTTTTCAGTTTATATATTTTGCTAGTATTTTTTCTTGTCATACCCCGTTGTTTATAGCTGAGGAACAGTTTGAAGTTTATTTATTTTTATATTTTTATCGCTGTTTGTCCCTAGACATGGCAGCGACGGAGCCTGCGACTTGTCCAGGCTCAACACCACCAGAGTCGGTAGTACCAGCTTGCATGTTCGCACCGGACCGAGGATGTTCTGATGATCCACCAGGTGAAGAAGGCTTTGAGGACTGCGAGGGTGAAAATGGGGTTTCTGTGGATTCTCTCGATTTAAGCAACAAGGTAGGATCAGTAATAAAGTGAAATATATATTCTGCCGAGTAAAAGTGTTTTTTTCCCCCCCTGTAAAAATAAATTGGATATCAGTAATGCCAATCCCTGGATCGATGTTACAAAAATGTAACTTGAGTTCCATGTGCATAACTTAACTCCTCCCCCGACATATATAACTTTATATGTAACTCACATGGCTGTACGTTACGTAGAACCATTATATCTTAATATTTAAAGGGACAGAATTTTAAGCGATTACTTGTTTAACTTAATTAAAGAGTTTTACGTGATTTGTTAACAAGACGCTGCATTGTTTTGTTGTTGTTGTTGTTTCTTGTCTGCCTCTCATTTTCAGCTGGTTCTTGTGAGCCCAACAGGAGAACAATATGATTCATTACTTCGACAACTAAGAGAGCGGATAGAGGAGGGCTGTGGAGAGACCATCTATGTTGTTGGGTTGGGCTCAGGTAATATGGATTCATTTAAAGTTAGTCTGTGTTTAAGCTAAAGAACAGCAAATACAGTGGAATCCATTCATAGTGATCACTTTGGTCCAAAGCCAATTTGAACACTATAAGTGGTCGATTACTATATCCGAATTTACCGTTATTTCACGTATTTTTTTATGCAAAATACCATCTAAATGCCATCTGTATGGTTTTTCAATGAGAAAAATGAAATGAAACGGATAGCTTCCGCATTTACTGAATTTATTACAGTACGTACCATGCAACTTTAATTACATTTTTGCGGATCTGCGTTGCATCAAGAAATCTCTTCACATATTTATCCATGATTCCCTGGATCACAGTGTTGTCCAACACAGAGTTCAGTTCTCTTTCAAAACGATGTAAAAGGTCAAAGTTTTTGAAACCAACATGCAGGAGACCAGTACCCTGACAACAGCCAGATGCATGTCTCGCTCCGCCCAGCTCCACTCACATACATCTGGGAACCCGCTCATTGAAAGTGATTTCCCCAACCGAATTTATGGTCTGTCCAATCAGGACGCAGGGTGGGTGTGTCCTGGAGTGGAGAAGCGACCGTGAGATTCCAACAACAATGGCGGCTCGCATTGAGGAAGCAAGCGTTAGCATTGATGCTGCTATTTCTTCTGTGTTGTCCAATCTATCTGATATTGTTTAATTAAAAGAACATCAGAGAACGGCTTTGAAGGCTTTTGTTGGTGGAAACGATGTTTTCGCCCTTCTCCCGACCGGATTTGGTAAGAGCTTGATCTACCAAATGGCTCCTCCTCTCACAGCGTCACGGGTTAGCTTCTGTGTGAGTGGTTGAAATAGCACGTCAATAAAGATGACAGACAAGTGGCTTATCCAATCATATGCAAGGAGTTCTGATAAGGCCCAGCCTTCAGTAAAGGCAATTCCTATGGCGGGTTCCCAGATGTATGTGAGCGGAGCTAGGCGGAGTGAGACATGCATCTGGCTGTTGTCAGGTTAGGAGACCAGTCTTTAAAATGCAAACTGCATTCCTACACTGTTACCTGCACCAAAGCACTCTTGTACCTCTGCGATGGCACTGGAGTGCTCTCATCACTTACAATCCACTTATTAATTATTTTTGCACATGTTTACATTCATAAAATGGCCAAAGAATGAACACTATAACCAGATTTCTTAATGACTATAAAGAAATTATTTAAACAGCATTTGTATAGAAATGATTCTGTCCCAAGCATTTTGAACACTATAAGCGGTTGATTACTATATCCGTGACCACTAAAAAACGGATCCCACTGTAGTTAGGTCCCACATAGGTCACGGTTTTCAAAAGATATGATAAAATGTAAACATAATTTTCGTATTTCCCTAATGGTGACAGATTCTCTTAAGTGTCATAAGACTTTATTTGAATGATATATATACTTGTAACAACCCAACATTAATAAGTACATGATTACCTCCATTCATAGACTGGAGCATATGTCTCTCCATCTATTTCATGCTGTTGAATACATCATTTAGGCACCAAAAATACTGGGAGTCCTTAGTATTGAGGATATAATACAAAAGGGGAACTCAAGATTTTTCAAATATCTTCTCAAGATGAGAGTCAAATTACCTGATTTTAATATCCATATATTCTAATATCCAAGCTATAAAATCTGGAATATATTGTCATAATTATCATAAATCAACAGATAAAAGTTTTTTTATATATCTTAAAACAAATTAAAGACCTCATCAAAGTGGTTAAGTCATCACTTTTGTCAGCTCTGCCACCTACATGCTTATTCTTATCATTTGTTTGGTTTTTGGCTTTCATTTTTTTAACACGCATATATGAAGGCTTTTGTTGGCAGCTAGACCCTTTTTTTTTTGCTTATTACAGCAGCATGTCTGCTCCGTGTGGCATTCTGGAGGAGGGGGTGGGGCAGTAGTGCATATGGAAAAAGGGTATCATTTGTCAGTGCTTTGCAGAAGGACTACCACTTGTTCAGCAAAGCATATGTCAATATCTATGCCTCATTTTCGGGTTGGATTTGCAGCTGAAATGAGCAAATGTCTTCATTTCTGAATGTAATGCAGCTTCACCCATTTACACCTGGACATCCGCAGATCTGTAGTGGCTACAAAAATGCTAAAATGTTATACCTTTCTGTCATGCAAAAGTACTCTATGTTTGTGTATTGGCTTGTAGGGATTATTAAAAAGTTCAATAAACCTGGTTTTGTTTGATTCTATTTGAAGGTAATACATTGCAATGAAGTTGTTTTCTAGTTTATTTATGGTCACAGTCATTTAGGACTTGAAATGTCCAAACTAAGTTATTCTTCTTGGGCTCAGTTAAGTTTAGCCCTTCCTAATACTGTAGGAGTGCTATTCCACTTTTGTTTTTCCTGTCATTATATATTTATTTTTCTAAAATGTCTTAGTTAAGCATCCCTATTGTTCTGTTCCTTCACTTTCTCTGTAGATGGAGGCGATTATGGTCTGGATGAGAAGGACATGGAAGCGTCCGTAGCCACAGTGCAGTCGCTATGTGAACAGGTTGAGGCTGACTTAATCCTGCTGAGAGACAGGACAGAAAGTGGTGGCAAGATTCGGGACTACCTCATCCGTCGACATGTGGGGGAGCAGGATTTCCTGGAAGTCAGGTATAAGTCACTGATTGTCAGATGTTTTGCAGTTGTCCAGGCATTGTAACATTTGTTCAGATGAGATTTAAGAACTTCTCCTGTAGTGTACCACTATTCCATCCTCTGCTGCCAACAAGAAGCTTTTATTTAATAGTCCCAATTGCTAATAGTCTCTTCCCATTGTGTTAGTGTGGTGGAATGGATGTTCTTTTTATGTTTATGTCTTTTATTAGCCAATAACATCTAACCTATATTAGACAGGGTACATTGATATCTATCTATTGGCTTTGTGGAAGAGTAGTCCATGAAAGTGCATGAAACAACAGTCATTCATTGAAATACCAAGCCTCTTACTTTTCTTATAGATGGCACAGGTGGTATCATTTCACCTTCAAAACACAATTTTAAACAACTCAGACAACATTGTCAGGAATGAAGCAGGTTGAATGACTACTGTTGGTGACTGGTTTCAACCAGGAATGAGCCGCTTATTTCTATCAAGGTGTACAATTTCTCTGGGTTTTGTTTTTCTAAGAATGCAAAACTAAACCAAGCCACTTTAAAGTTACCCTTAACATTATTTTTTTTTTTTCAAAAAACACATATTGAGTGTTTTGCTTTGTAATCACAAACACACAAGGAGTCATCTACAAACCAGAAGTATGAACCATCACTTATGTTTATGGCCTTGTTCAGACTTGGTATTATTATTCTTCCTAGCTGGCCAGAAGGCTAGTAGCCGATTATAGCTATTTATAGTATTGCCCAACCAATATAGGATTTTAAAGGCCATATCGATTTGGGTGCTTTAAAAAAACGATATGCGATATTTTGGAAAATCTCAGATATTGACCAATACACGATATATATCATCCAAAATATATATTAGAAAAAAAAAACTGAACATGGACATACACTGGACATGCATTGTCCAACTATAGTCCAATTCAAATTCTTATAATAACCAAAAATATGATTCAAACAAAAACAAAACAGAAAATGGAAATATATGATTAAAGTAAGCAACTTTACGTTGAACAGTGTCAACATAAGGCATAAATACAAGAATTTTTTTGGTTCTGATTTAGATATTGCCTCAAATTTGTGTTGTGTTTTTTTTGTTTTCTTTGGCCATACTGGTGCTGGAGCCCTGACTAACTTTAACACCACAGATGCTGCATTCAGCAGCTGTTAACATCTGTCATGAAGTTAATCCAGACCTGTTTCTTTCCCGCTGCCTGTAAAATGACTAAATATAAATTTAGTGTTATTCCCTAATTAGGTTTCTATTCTACTGATGAGCATTTATGCTACGTTCAGATCGCAAGCGCTGGAAGCAGCAAAAAAATTTCTGCTGCTTCATTTTTGATGCTTGTACACTCTAGTATATTTGATGCTCCTGAAGTGCGTCAAGTAAAGTGTGTCCAGATGTGTCTGATGTTTCACTGCTCCTGTGTTAAATGGCAGAGAGCGGCTTTGCTATATTTGCTGTCATAAGTGGGTAGAAAGTAGTTTTGACATGTTTTTAAGTGAGAAGGTCCACCTGAAAACTAAATCTGTCAGTTCTTCAAGATTACGATAATGCCTTCAAATATTATTTCGCTGTCAGAGCCGCTCAGACCCCCCATACCGACAGTGGTCTGTCAACGGCAGCCTCTGGCCCGGTCGCATCTTGGGGAGTTTCCGCTACTGTTCGCGGTGGCTGGAAGGCGTAATCATGTATGTAATCCAAACTGCAGGGACCAGAATAATAAAAATGGACATGTTTTGCTGGCAAGTTTCAACATTTTAAGTTAATTTAGGCATTAATGAACTGTTCAGAGGAGTGATCAAAACGATCTGTATCTACAGCATCTTTTTCCCTGCCAGCTTCTCTGATTGGTTTATGTGACAGCAAAAGGTCTGCCTGGTATCACCTATTTCTCCCCATTGTTTTAGACAAGACATAATTTTTTTAAATTCATATTAGGAGGTAAACAATCAATATTCAATTGGGCGGTCCTAAATCGTTTTTTTCCCCCGTACATTCCTAGTCTTTCTCGAGTGGACACAAAGACTAGATTACTTCTCACTTAGATTTACCGTACTGATATGTGAACATTGAGTACTACGATAAATGCATTTTTAAATTTTTATATGATTATAAGTTAAACGCATTTCAGCAGCAGCTTCATTTATGTTAAAACAACAACAACGTAGTGACACTAATGGTTTAAATTTATAAAGCACAAGGCCTGATGTTTCTGGCGTCCTGTTGGTAGACATTGTTTATTTTGATCGCCATGTTTCTTTTTTCTTCACTGTGCCTGACATACAGGGTGTATTATTCAAGAATTTGTTCAATTTAAATCTTTGATTCTGTGCTTAAACAGATGTGTGTTAATTCATATTACCCTTTTCTTACAGTGTAATGGAAATGACAAATAAAAAAAAAAGCTTTTTCTATAGAATAACAAAAAATAAAGAAGTTTATACTTTAATATGGGACAAAATTTTTCAGTGCAAAAATCCTAATTCCTAATCCTCTTGTCTGCAGAGTTGCAGTTGTCGGCAACGTGGATGCTGGGAAGAGCACCTTGCTTGGTGTGCTGACCCATGGCGAGCTAGACAACGGCAGAGGCTTCGCTCGACAGAAGCTCTTCAGACACAAGCACGAAATGGAAAGTGGCAGGACCAGCAGCGTGGGTAATGACATCCTGGGCTTTGACCAGGAGGGACAGGTGAGTTACAGTAGTAGATCTTTTTTTTTTTTTTCAGTCGCCGTGGTCAGTTGTATATTTTTGCATTTGCCAAAGCTATTAGTTGTAAGCAGGGTACAAAATAAATTTATGGTAATAATCATGGGATGAAGTGAAAGCCGTCTCCACTCACTGTAGAAATATCGGATCGTAAGACATTAGAAAAAATATTTTTTTCTCTGAATTTCATGAAAAACTAAGGCTGAAATTTCCTAAAAAAGACTATGAGAAGGCCAGCGGCAACACTGATAGGGTTGCTGGGTATTTCTATAAAGTAGTTTGTTCTGCATGTAACTACAAGCTTTTCTTTCTCTATATGTCTGGACTAAAGGTACATTCGCAATAAATGCAAATGTGGTGAATATAGCATGGGATTGACATGTTGTTAATATGTAAAGGCATGTGACAGAACAAATTAATGGTTGACAATGTGAAGGATGCTTTTCAAAAGATGCAAATTAAATTGGTTGATTAAAGGGAAGACAAACATAGATTGCCGCAGAGCAAAGAGAAACTCCAAAAAAGGTTAAAAAAACAATCCACTGGACTTGTTTTCCATGTTTGAAGACGTTTAGCTTTCCATCCTGTCTGAAGTAGCGTTGAGTTTCAGACTTAAAGATAAACTTGACTGTAGCTGAAAAATCTGAACTTTCCAGGTTATTTGCGTTGTGTTAACTAGTTAGGTACTGGACATGGTTGTGATGTAGGGTGATTGAGCCCTGCAGAGACTCTGCTTTTTTTTTTTTATTGTCAAAACCTCAGTGGATATAAATCTGTCCCCTTGCTGTGGGACAGTCGCTCCTGATACTGGGCCATGGATAGAAGCAAGTAGCACTTGAGGCGATACTCTAGCTGCAGTCCCTGGAGCAGGTGGAGGAACTAAGAGCGGATCTGGTCGACCCAGGGATACGAACCCTGTTGTTCAGCTTATCAAATTATATGCAGCCTGGTGAAATTCTCAGTAAAACCCAAGGTCCACTGTGATTAGTTGAACAGACAAGGGGAACTTGCAAGTGGATGGATGCTCCTCCTATTTGATGATATGGTGATGTTGGGTTTAATTTAGCATTTTCTGTGTTGGAAGAGAGAAGCAAAATAACAAGCAACCGATGACTGGAAAACCATGCAAAAGATGCACCCTGTGTGCTTTCATGTTAACGCACATTCAGGAGTGAGAGATACAAGACCGAATAGCAGGGCTGGAAAACTTGCTATGGTCTGATGAAACTTGAACTTCAGTATTTTGCCATGATAAAATGAGATGATATCACCATCATGCTTAAGAGGTTCATCAGGTTAATTCAAGGGTGGACAATTGCAGTTCCTGAGGACTAGTATCCTGTAACTTTTCAACGTTTTCTTGGTCCAACACACATTTTAAAAGTAACTAAATGATTAAGGGGAATGAGAAGAAATTGAGTACATAGCAAGGAGGTAATTCATCTATTCGAATTAGGTGTTTTGGATCAAGGACTAATCAATAAGTTGCTGGATACCAGCTCGCAGGAACCAGATTTACCCACCCATGGTTTAATCAGATGAAACGGAGTCAGAAGGTCAATCTGGATTAAGCTACGATCGGTTCCAGGTTTTGGTGTGGCCCAGCCATAAAGTTGGTACAGAAATTCTGTTGGAATTATATGAAAATGGCTCTGAGCAAGTGACGTGCCTGTAATCTGACAAGTGTGGAAACTTTCTAAGCCGGAGTAGTTAAATCTTGTCAGGCCAGTGTGTGTGACGGTGATAGACTCCTACCAAAGTAGACCTGTCTCTGAAATCGAATCAAATTATTTTTTAACAGTTTATACTGGTGTTCAAACTTGTGTAATTGGGTAATTTTCTTCTGTTTCTTCTTTTCTTAATCAAATGTAATTTTCTCTTTATAGCAGTTTTTTGGCGCCTTTTTCTTCAAATGTTGGTCAAATGTTGTTTAGTAGTAACGACTGTTTCTTTAGGTGGTTAACAAGCCAGACAGCCATGGTGGGGGTTTAGACTGGATAAAAATCTGTGAGAAGTCCTCAAAGGTCATCACCTTTATTGACCTGGCCGGCCATGAGAAGTATCTCAAAACCACTGTTTTTGGCATGACAGGCCACCTGCCTGATTTCTGCATGCTTATGGTGAGTCTTGTGTTGCATTCAATTCCTTTTCAGATTGTATTTTTTTTAAGTAACATCTTGCTTTTTGACATTTCTTTATAGATTGGCAGTAATGCAGGGATAGTTGGCATGACTAAAGAACATCTTGGTCTGGCTTTAGCCCTAAATGTACCCGTCTTTGTAGTTGTTACAAAGATAGATATGTGTCCAGCTAACATCCTGCAAGGTAAGGAGACGCACTGTAGCATGAATGCATAAGGAGACATTTTATGCCTTTCTTGGCTGCACTGAAGGTTTAATTCAAACTCGCTGGAGGTACACTCTTGGTTTAAGCCTGCTGATTGCCTGAAAATGGCCAGCTTCAGATTAAAAATGTTGTATATAAGGGAAGCGTACACCAAAGTTAACATGGTTAGTAGTTGTTGGGGCTGTGTTAGAATACCAACCCAGAGGACTTTGCTACATATCTTTCAGTTCAGTTTAGTTTATTTATATAGTGTCAATTCACAACGCATCATCTTAAGGCATATCTTTACCTTCTCTCTCCACCATATTTCCTGTTTGTCTACTGATGGTGGCTTCAATAGAAAGAACGGAGTTAGTTAGGATAGTCTTTGAAAAGATAACAATAGAGAAAGGAATCTAGAAAGAAATCTCTATGTGCTCTTGTAATTAAGGTAAATACCAGAAACCAAAATTTTTTTTTTTTTTCGGACCTATGGGTTTTTTTGTTGTTTTTTTTTTTTTTATTTTCTTTTTTAAAACAGCCGAAACCAGAACCAGAGGGTGGCTTTTTTTAATATTGTGTTTACAGGCCGCTCCTTCTTTTACAGATTTGATTTTAATACAACAAATACAAAATTAAATAATAACAATCAAAAATAAAAATGCCCTCCTCCAGTGAAGCTTTGGGCTTTCTAGTAGAAAAAAAATCTCTGCCCCAGTTTTCAGTCTGTTCGATTTTGTGCATTGAGATAAATGAATAACGAACAAAAAACTATAACGTCTCATAACATAGCCAGACTATCTGGAAAAGAGGAAATTATTCCTACTTGATGAAACTTTTTTCACAAGGCAACAAGCCTGTTTGCTTTATTGGGTTTTAGCAGTGTTTGAAGGTGGTTCTGGTCTTTGCCTTCAAAGTCACCTGTATGAATATATCGTCCATCGCTATTTGCTGGACTGGCGAATGTCAGTGGGAAATTTTTACATATCACCCAACCTTATGGAACACCCGTCATGTCTTAATTTCCACTGGAAAACTGGAAAGATTCTACGATAACCAAGGTGCCTAGGTCAGGTCAGGATTATGTGTCGATCCACAATATTTCTCTTCTCTACCAAAGCAAAAGCCCTTGAACATAATGTGCTGGTAATTGTGAAAAATACAAGTGCGGCTAGGTGATATGGCTGAGAAATAAAATCTTTCTTTTTTGAATTGATAATTTTTTTTTTTAATAATCACTTATCCCTTCTAGGTGTTGACCAAAATTCATAGAGCATCTCAATACAGTTCAAGCTGTAAAACATGCTTGCTAAACAGCTGCACAGGCCCCTTTTGGTCAATAATAAGAATCATATAACCAAATGTTTGTTACTAGTGGTGTCAAACAAGTTTATCAGCTAGTTTAACAACTTTTACCAGATCTCCCAGCTCTAGTATGTTCTCTTTCTTAGAAAATCTGTTTTGTTTTATGCTGATTTGTTTTTTGTTGTTTTTTTGGATTAATAGAGACACTAAAATTACTACAGAGATTATTAAAGTCACCGGGCTGCAGAAAGATCCCCGTACTAGTCCAGAACAAGGACGATGTCGTCGTCACAGCCTCCAACTTTAGCTCAGCGAGGTAAGATTCAATAGCAGACACATGGAGATCAGCTGAAAATTAGAACATGTGTTAAAAGGATAACATGTTTGCATTAAAGGTTTAAGCAAATATGTAAAACATCTTATTGCTTTCATATAATATTAAACATGGTCATTAGCTGCTACTTATATTGTTGTGCTTGAAAGTTTACATACCTTCCGATTAAAGAAAATTATAAATTCACACTAGTTTTTCAAATAACACAAAACTGAAAAAAGTAAGAATGGATAGAAATTTACTAAATTATAATTTAGTAAAACAAAATATTGATTATAAATTTTTGTTTAAAAAAACAAATGCTGTGCCTGAACATCTACCCTAACCCCCGTATTTCTCAATCACTACATGGAGCAGGACTATATAGTTGACTTTTTAGTAAACTCAGTTAACACTCATTCGAACAGATGATAACGGTCTCTTTGGGAATTCTTAAAGTGAATGAGTTTGCTTCTTTAATTCTACTCATTCAAACTCATTTAGTTGTTTCTGATATCTGAGACCCAATTGAGTTGAACAAGTTAAGACCATTCCTCAACATCTATGCTTTTTGACACAAACAGTGTTTTTGACTTTTTAATTAAGTAAACACATAATTTCTGCTCACCACTGACATTTTCTAACCTTTTAAGGATGTGTCCCATTTTCCAAATCTCAAACGTGACGGGGGAGAACATGGACCTGCTGAAGATGTTCTTATAGAGCAGGACTATATAGTTGACTTTTTAGTTAACTCAGTTAACACTCATTCTAACAGATGATAACTACTTTTCACTCACTGTTGGTCAAGTAACTCTGCCTCCTCACACTGTGTCTGCATCAACTATAAAATGCCCTATATAGTGATTAGGACAGACGTTCGGAAACAAAAAAAGACATCCCAGACAACTTGTAAAAAGTACCTTGCTCATGCATCAACATACCTGTCAGCAGACGCAGAATTCTGCCTGAGAATTTCTTGAATATTACAGAAAACACCTGAAAAGCTGATATTAATTTGATGAATAGCTGAGTTTCATGCACAGGTCGCTAGCCTGTAGTTGGCTGAATAACAGAGATGTCAGAGATAAAATATAAATTTAAACAATAGGGCTGGGAAACTATTACATTTTTTATCACTATTAATCACATTGTATTCTCAAACTCGAACAAATTCAATAACACTTTTACAAAATAAACACATGTAAGCAACAAGCTTTAATGTGCAATAAAGTAAATATCGGTGATAATAGTGTAACGAAATGTCATGAAAATAAAGAGTTAACTTGCACAGCCCGAGAAATAAGATTACTTTAGCTTTTGATTCCGTGTTTCTTAAGAGTTAAATCTAGCAAGTGGAAATATTCAGATCTTTTATGCAGCCAGCTAACTAGCAGTACACAGGAAAAGGTGGGGAACTTCGCTCCACTCCATGCCTATTCTAAAGCCTTCTAATGGAAAGCATCTCAACTTTCTTCTAAGTGGTGTATGCAGATGTTTTACCTTTTTGAAAAAGGAATCAAAAAATGTAAAGTTCTTTATGTTCCACCACCAAGTCTGTTTTGGGCATTCTTATAGTGAATGAGTTTGCTTCTTTAATTCTACTCATTCAAACTCATTTAGATGTTTCTGATATCTGAGACCCAATTGAGTTGAACAAGTTAAGACCATTCTTCAATATCTATGCTTTTTGACACAGTGTTTATGACTTTTTAATTAAGCAAACACATAATTTCTGCTCACCACTGACATTCTCTAACCTTTTAAGGATGTGTCCCATTTTCCAAATCTCAAACGTGACGGGGGAGAACATGGACCTGCTGAAGATGTTCTTAAACCTCCTCTCCCCAAGGACGACTTATAACAATGATGAGCCAGCAGAGTTCCAGATAGACGACACATACTCAGTACCGGTATGAAATGTGATCCACAGTTGGCTGCTCCCACACTTTTTATTATAGATTTTTTTTGCCCCTTTGGGTATTTTCAGCAGGGACAGCAAGGGAAGAAAGTGGCCCAAACATTCAAGGTCATCCAATTTAGAAACGGCAGAGAATCAAAGGTTTATACTCTATTTGGTGTAGGTGTCATGTGGAAAACAAATAAAACTCTGGATTGCATGAATGCATTCAGTGTCATTAACATTAGCCTGTGTGTTTCTATGTGACTTTTACAGCAATGACCTAGAAATTTTGATCGACCAAACCAGGCAGTCACTGTGTTTTAACTGCTGAGCAGAATCTAAGAACCAAGGGCGTTTTGTGCATTTTCTCTGTCCATAGACAGCAATAATATTATGATGAAACGAAATGCTAAAGACACTCTGAAAATGAAATAGAATTTGAACTAGAGGATCAAATGCCATTGAAACTTAGTAAATAAAACCTATGCTAAATGGTTATTTAGTTTAGCATTAATGTTGAGCTCTAAAGCAAACAACCCTTGGATTCATAGCGAACCCTTGTTAAATGAAAATGAAATAGAATTTGAACTAGAGGATCAAATGCCATTGAAACTTAGTAAATAAAACCTATGCTAAATGGTTATTTAGTTTAGCACTAATGGTGAGCTCTAAAGCAAACAACCCTTGGGTTCATAGTGAACCCTTGTTAGCCTGTCATCGTATTCTTACAGCAAAACCTGTAATCTCATGTCAGTCTTCTTCTTTTGCAGGGTGTGGGTACAGTAGTTTCTGGTACCACACTGCGTGGAGTAATACGACTCAACGATACGTTACTCTTAGGCCCAGACCCGCTTGGCACCTTCATCCCTATTGCTGTGAAGTCCATCCATCGCAAAAGAATGCCTGTTAAAGAGGTTCATGGTGGGCAGACGGCATCCTTTGCTTTGAAAAAGGTTTGTAGGGAAATATTTCTCTTCATTGAAGATAATTTAGTAAACTTTACTCAAAAGAACGTAATTTTTTATAAATATTTCAGCTATGTTTCTCTCAATTGTAGGATTTATCTGTTTTTATTTGTTCTTCACTAAAAAAAATCTTTTACTGAGGTTTTTTTTTCTTTACATCCATCCTTTAGATAAAAAGGTCATCAATAAGAAAAGGAATGGTGATGGTCTCTCCAAAACTAATGCCTCAAGCTACTTGGGAATTTGAGGCTGAAATCTTGGTGCTTCACCATCCAACCACAATATCTCCAAGATACCAGGCAATGGGTTAGTGGACACATGTCTTTTGCCTTATGTAAAATGTACAAGTCTTAATAAATATGTTATTTTCATTCCATCTTCAAGTCCACTGTGGCAGCATTAGGCAGACTGCCACTATCCTCACCATGAACAAAGACTGTCTAAGGACAGGGGACAAGGCTTCAGTCCATTTCCGCTTCATTAAAACGCCGGAATATCTGCACTGTGATCAGAAGCTCGTATTCAGGGAAGGTCGAACCAAAGCCGTAGGCAGAATCATGAAGGTAAAATAGAATCTTGATTCTATCATGCGTTCACATCTGAAAATTAAGTGGACCTTCTTTCTTAATCTTTGTTATGGGTTTAGTTGAAGGAACCAACTAACAACTATTTTCCCTATGTAGCTTCTCCAGTCAGTTGGCACACAGGCTGCTAAAGCCCAGCAGTCCAAGTCTCAGGCCAATAAGAAGTTTTCTAGAGACGGGACAACAGGGAATGAAGACGCTGGATCAACTAACCAACCACAAAGTCCAACAACATCAGTGAGTAATCAGTCCCTAGCCTCAGCAGTATCTTATTATAGAAGTTAATCCTGAATAGGGGTCACAGATACACAATGTTTTACATCAAAACAACACTGACTTAAGTTACTAGTATGTTACTTTTTTTTTTTTACATACTGTTAAAATCCTTTATATTAAATTTAGAGATAAAACAGTCAAGAGTTGTAACATTAATCTGATCCCTTCTGAACTCTAAAGCTTTAACAGGTTGAATGTTAAGTTCTTTAAACATTACACTATTGATGCAGCTACTGTAAAACTAATAAAATAAGACGAGGTCTATTTTAATTTTATAAACAGGTTGTGTTTCACCTTTATCATTGCCCATGTATGCTGAAAATATACCTGTTCAACTTGGACTATTCTTGACCTAGCAGCATGTGGGGCATAACTAGTCGGTAAAAACTCAGAAACCAATCAGGCTGTTTTTTGTATTTATTTTTATGAAATCTGCTGGTCTCATTTATGTTTCAACTTAAGTATTTTGAACGTCTTGAGACGGAGAGACTCATGCTAACTTTTCAAAATGTGAAGCTTTTTTATCTTTTGACACTGTTTGAAATCTGGCTGCTAATCTATTATGCTTTTCTCTTTCTTCTACACTTTATTCCCTCCCATAATCCTGAGTTGGCCAACATGATTTGTTTTAATCCTAATTCACCATCTTTCATTCATTCTTCCAATACACCTACGCCCTTATCATATAGGATTTTTTCCCCCTTCCCCTCATTTCTGCCATTCATTCTCTGTGCTTTTAATGCATCATTTTCCTGCTCTTATCATCCTGACTGTCTTTACATGCTGCGTTAGACAGTGGCAGAGGAGGCTTTTTGTAAAGAAGACGACAAAGAAAACAAGGTAAAAAGGTGGGCAGGCCCCGCAGACCAAACCTTGAAGTGGTAATAACTAAAGAGAGAACAAAAAGTGAAAAGATATACAAAAACTTAGGGATGCACGATATAATCGGCCCCCTATCGGTATCGGCCTTAAAACCGAATATCGGACATCGGCCACCCCACTGATATTTAACCCGATATTTGATCAGCTTCTGAGTTTCTAAAGTCTAAAAAAATAAAAAATAAATACTTCTTCTTCTTCCTGAAAAACTTCTTTTTTACAGACTTAAAAACTTCTAAAGACGAGGGAAAAAATATTGATACATTAAAATATCACAATATCTTCATATGCTGATATATTGCCATTAAAAAACACCATATCAATCTCTTTCACTAATGAAGTATTGCTATATGTCATCGTTATGCTACAAAATCCCCCGAAAATCCATGAAATTTTGCCATATTTTTATATGTTGATATATTGACGCGGTATCGATCTATTTTACTAAGAAAATCTCACAAGAATTTGCAAAATATCACGAGAGTTTGTAACAGAACGATGAAATTTCAGGAGATTTTGAAAGTAAAATAGATCGATACTGCATTTTTAAAAATTTTCAAAGTGTCAGAAATGGATAACAAAACTGCTGTTTTCAATGACTACTTATTGTTGTCCAGCATTAACATCAGTATCGGTTATCGGCTACATGAGTTTTAAAATATCGGCATATCGTATATCGGCCAAAATCCCAATATCCTGCATCCCTACAAAAACTGAACAAAGTAAAGTGCTATATCAAGCTGTATTTCACTGATGTTGGAGACCTTAAAGGGTGAGAACATAACATGGATTTCAAATGATCCATTAAAGAACAACAGACCCTGAACTAGGTTGTTCTGTGTTCGGTTATTTGCCTAAATCGGTCAACAACAATGTCAAACAAGGATGGCTTTGGTGTTTTTGCTCTTTTTACTTGCCAAAGAAATTCTGTAAATAAAGGTTTCTTAAAAACAAACAATATTTAACAATTCCTAAATTAGGCTTGAATAGAAAGTCTTTATTATTCGCCTTTAAGTCGGAGTACACATTTGTGCTGGCTAAATGTTTAATTGCTAGTATTAAGCAGTTTGTTTTTAGTAACAGAGTAAATGTGGCTTAGGAGGAACTTTAATACCTGGATCATACTGCTGTTTGTAGACGGTTTTAATATCCCCTTCCATTTAGTGACATAAGCTTGTAATTCTTACCATGATAACAAGTTAAACCCTAAAAGTTGGCCAACTGCTTTAGTCAGAGAACTAATTAGGTTGATATTTGCCATTGTTTTATATCTGCCATCAGCCACATGAGCATTCCTTGTAGAATACTAACGCAGCAAATCTATGAGCAGCAAAGTGTTACTATGTGTATGTTTATGGTAAAAGTGTGCAGCAAATGACAGCACACTCTTATGTCAATCAAATGGCCTACAGACCACAGAGGGCAATCGTCCTGTCTGTTTGTCTCTTGATTATTAGTGAGCCTTCAGTCAGCAGTAGCTCAGTGAGTAATAAGTTTTGACTGACAACTGGTCCCACAGCAAGTAGATTTGTCTTAATCTGTTCCAAGACATCATTCTCTTTGAGAGACCATTTCCAATCAGGTCTCATGCAGCAGATTTATTCTACAGCTTGCATATAAAGCCTCTGATAGAAAGGTCCTTCTATTTTAGACCGAAAAATAGGTTATATAAACAAATAAATTCATTCTTCGTTTTAAACTGACCGTCAAAGACTTTTTTACCTTTTTGTTTCAAATGGGCATATTTTATTTACAGTGTTCTTGTGATCAAGCAGATTTTTTCAAACCGAGTTTAAAGGTTATTGGTTTGCAAATTAGTCATATTAAGCATAATTTCCAACTACTAGATAACTTGGTATGTGTGGAATGGACAACCGATATTTGCAGGGCACAAGTTGACATTCTGGTCTTTCAAACATCTTATCAAATTTTTCTAGAATCAATTCACACCATTTAACAATTTTTCTTAGAGTTCTAATTTTGCCCTTATCTGTATTTTTGTCCAAAAACAACTATCAGGTCACAGTTTCCCACAAAGCATTGATTTCTCTTAACATGAAGCTTTGTGTTAATGTCTGTCTGCAGCTGAAATCAGGAGGCGGGGGCCGTCGAAGAGGGGGTCAGAGACATCGAGGGAAAGGTCCAAATGCTCCTAACATGTCTTCAGGAATGCCAACAGGAGCAGCAGGCTCATCCTAAAAGCTCAAGATTCACTGTATCATCATTATCCCTCTGCTGGTTGTCTAAAAAGAAACAATGGTCTTTCAACTTGCTTTTTTTTAAAGATTCTTATTGATCCACATTGGACTGTTGAAAGAAAACATGTTTGTATTTGTGGATTGCAATAGATACTTCCCTATTTTTACTGAAACTTTTCAGACATTTTTTCAGGACATCCTCAGAGGCATTACTTCTTTTTACCCACTTTCCAGTTTTCAAAACTGTTATTTTCTTTATTTTACTGTACTCTTATGCCCACCTTTACCTGCCTCCACTGTTTATTTGGGATAAAGTTTCTGTAAGTTTGCTGTAAGTTTCCTGAATCAAGCAAATTAGAGCAGACAGAATGTTTTCTGTCTCTCAGTTCTTTAAAGTGAATCTGTTTTATAGGAAGTGGCATTGTCATTTTGGTTTGGAGTCGTCTTGACAGTGAGTAGATGTCGGACATGTTGGCTGTAGCAATCTGACAGCAAGTACTCAATAAACGCAGCTGCTTTGTTAGTTTACACAAATATTACTGTGAAAGGTAGCAGTTTTTATGGAACATGGCTAATGATTAATTTTGCTGTGAGAAAATGGTGTGTATTTGGGTAATATTTCGGAAATGTGGAAGAAAATACCTGGCCCCTGCTCACAAAGTGGGATAAGTACTTAAAAATATTTCTATAACCCAAGTTTTCTATTTCCGAAAGCTACAAAGCTGTTATCCTGAGGCATTTAACTACCTAAACCAGCTCTGGTCTTCAGCAGGTTTTGTTGATCTTACTCTGAGTTTGAAATGTCAGTAAAGGAATGTTTTTCACTGTAGGAGTCTGTAGATCTTGAACAGCAAATACTCAATGCAATTAGATGTATTTTAATATCTGGATTCAAATATATTTGAATATCATTTTCTCGCTAATCAATAATTAACCTGGATAAAATGTATGTTGCAGATTTCTCATATAAAACAAGTACAAGTTCTTTGTATGGCATTTTGGTACTTTGGTTTTATGATAGGCTTATACTTAACTCTATGCTGAGCTTATTCATAACTGAGTTACCTTGTTGATATAAAAAAGATTTGAATATCACTGAGCCAAATAGGACTATTCAGGAGTCTGCTGACAATTCAAGCTAATTTTAGCCTGCTTTCTAAAATGCTAGACACCGTAGCTTTTACTTCATTTGAAATGAGGGGACAGTTGTATATGTTTTATTTTCCTTTGTTTGCTAGAATCTGTCGGTTTTTGTTTGACTCCTCTTAATAGGGAGTCAAAGCACAAAGGAAGAATTTCTTAAAAGTCAAACTACAAAAATTGCCCATAAATTGCTCAGAATAGAGTAACATGACATGCAGATTCTAACAACCACATTCTAAAACTACACCATCAAAAGGAATAAAAATAGAAATCTTTAAAATGGAAAAAAGAATTTAAGAATTTGCTGGCCAGTGTTCTGCATCTCCAGCAACAATTGAGGAGTGTGATGTTTATGAACCAGAACACTGTGATTCATATCCTATTCATAATGAATTCCCTTCCTCTTTGTTTTTCTCCAAATGGCATGCAACGAGTCCCACAGGAAGCTGGGGTATGCCAATCAAGGCTATCAAGCATCCAAATCTACCTCTCTGCAAGATCAACCATCTGCACAATTATGGAATGATTTTCAAAAGAAACACATTGATCAAAGGGAGCAAATTTAGCTACTAATATGTTTTCACTGTTAAATACAATTTCAGAAAATGCCATCTGATTTCTTTTAGAGCTCTATTTTTCTGGCTGGGCAGGGTTGGGTTGCAGTTAGTTTGCCTCTGAGAGGTTTTGCATAGTGAATTCTCCCTGGAAAGTTTCTGACTCAGAGGCTACAGCCATGTTTGCACCCTGTGGAATCTGTATTTTGAAAGCAATCTGCTATACCTTTTTCGTCTTGTGTGAAAGCCCAACTTTCCCACAATGACAGCTTATTCTTTACCATTTTTCCATAAAGGCCAAGACACGTACTGATAAAGATTCTCAGAGAGATTCTAACTTCACCCAAAAATGTATATGAAAGAGTTTTAACTTAAACGTGATTCAGATAATTGCTTGGAGCTACTTTTAGTCTTAGGCTGCTTGATGTCCTCATTCTGATACTGAGAATGTATTCAGACTGGTGTATTTAACAAAGTTCATGTTGAGATGCAAGGATGGAAAAGGAGGGAAGTGATAAACAAACTGAAACGAAACAGGTTGTCAGGACCCAGGTAGGCTAATACAGGCTGAAGTGTAGGATAAGTCAATTGATACCAATTGATGTGCCTTGCGATGTCCCTGCATACCCCTCAGAAAGTATGTAGTTGCGCCCCTGATAAAATTATCTAAAATAACCTTGACCTGTCTCCAAACAGAACTATTGCTAGCATCACGAGTCAAAATCTGATCACCTTGTTTTAGTTTGCAATTGATTCATTTAGATTTCTTGTGCATGTGTCTTAAAACATAATGCATATTTAGCTTAACTGGGATAGTCGGATGGCTCGCAGCCGATGTTGTAAAAATTCCTTTATTTTCAAATCCTAAACTTAACAGGTGTGGGAGTTTGTGAGGAATCAAGCACTTATCCTTGTTTTACTGGCATTTGGTGCCGATACTATTTAGGGTTGCCACAGAAGAAAGTTGACATTAAAGATATAAGGAAGATTATTTTTCTGTTGTGGTGGCTGGCAGTGAGCAGAAAGTGCCAACAGGGAACAGGTTAAAAAAAAACCTGTACTGCTATGCATCTTTGCACTTAGCTTTGTGTCCACACACTTGGTCTGCCCCCATGGAGTCACTTCTTAATAAACTTTATGTGATTGAAAAACTGCATCTGCTGCACATTTTGTCCAAATGTGAGAATTTTATTTCTTCCCCCTCATGAGAATTGGTTTTACATTTTATTTAATTTCTACCGTAGTCTATATATTATATCTTAAATTAATATTAGCTTATATGAAGACCCAGATGAAAAGGCGCATATAACTTCTTGGAATATCTGTCTTGTAATTCCTCTCTATCTATGAAATTAGGATGTTGGTTTCTTGTATTTCATAAAAATAATTAGAATTTTTTTCTAGATGAGGCAGTTTGTGAAATGATTAATGAAAATTAAATTGTGAGTAGTGACACATATTTATTTAATTTAAAATTTTTTGTTGAACAGCAGTTAAAAATATTTTTTTCTACATCTTTCTTAAAAGAAATACCTCTTTAGGTTGCATCAACCTTAGAGGGAGAAGTTATTGGTACTTCGTTTGGCAGCCTGAAAACTAATGCAGTCTATTTTAGTTTCTTTGTGAAAACTCCATTAAATGTTCAAATCCTAAGCATGGTTGTCTATCCAGTATTAATGCACACTCATTTTAACATACTCCAACACTCTGCAAGGAACCTGCATAGATCAACAAATGTGTGTTGCTTTACTTCCAACTCCTCCAATATAGTTCATCTTAGGGTCCTCACAGGTTATTGAAATCCTTTAATGATTGTGAATTTTAGTTCAGGCCTTACCGCCTGAGTGATTGCCCCACATGTGTCCTGGAATGTCTGAAGCTATACAAGATCAACAGTACTCTACCGGCCTTCATTGCAAACTCCATGCTTCTGTGGAAAACCACACTTGAGGCCAACCAAGGGGATGTTCTCCCACCCCCTCCTATATTCTACATAAGCCTGAACCCCCCCAATAATCAACAAGATTGGCTATCAATACTATTTCATATATGGCGACATTATCAGCCACCTCCTGTGCATAACATCAATCTGAATGCTAAAATTGAATGAGACGTGGAATCGCTGATCCACACCACCAGGATCTACAGCAGCGACCTGGAAATGTTATTCAGGCTGGAGAAATGTGGCTGGATGGTGACAAGGAGAGGAAAGGTAATCAACACAGGCAGATGCAGAAGAGAACTACAGGTACCTTGGAATACCACAGGCAAATGGCATCCCAGAAGTAAACACAAATCAGTCAACTTCTGCAAACTCAGCTCAATGGTAAAAACAAGGTACGAGCAATCAACAGCTATGCCTTTCCAGTAATCAGATACCCTGCTGGGATAAGAACTGGTGCTAAGGAGGAAAAAAGAAAGCAACTCATCATGCATGGTGGAACACCCACTAAATCCAGTATCCAGAGACTATAGACTAAGCACAAAGGAGGAGGAAGATGTCTAGTGAGCATCAGAGCCACTATTGAAGATGAAACATCCAAGCTCCAAGAATACATCAGAAAGATGGACCAGAGGGATGAAGCGGTTAGTGAATGTCTCCGGCTATGGAAGCTGGAAATGAAGGAACTGGAGGAACCATCATGGGTGGAAAACCCCATCTATGGGACGTACCACCAACAGATAGCTGAAGTGGTTGATATGACCAAACCCTGCCAATGTCTAGATAGGGCTGGGCTGAAGAAAAGCATAGAAGAGCTGCAGGTCATGACTGCTGGTCCTGAGCATCAGGACAATAGAGAGCCAGATCTACCATACCATGCAAGATCCTAGGTGCAGGCTAGTCAAAAAGGCCCCATAAACAATACTGAATAGCACAGTAGGGTGTAAGATATTGAAAGCAACTGTTGTGACCATATTCATTGGGTCACTTAAAATAGGCATTGCCAAACTTCATAAATTTAATCATTAAACTGCAATAAATATAAGCTAAAATGCACCTGATTTCATGAGTATGTTGCTCATTAATCAGCTGTGGAGCCGCTTCTCCCCTCTGCTCTGGAGCATCAGGATGCTGCCTTACTGTCCCTATGACAACTGGAGGTTTGAGCCTCCATCTATTGAGGTAAGCAGAGAGAAGTAGAGCCCTGATTGGATAACACGCCCAAATGAGTCACTACTATGGAGCAGGGGCAGGGGCATGAAACTAGCTGCTTGATGCTGATTACTTAAGGATTTTTGACTCACAGTGGCCAGACAGCAGTAGTACTTTTGAGAAAGTTTGAGAACTTTTGTAATGCTGAATTATGTGTGAAAAAAACAACCATATTCCGTGATCTCCCAAACAGATTACATAATCATAATTGCTATTAGGAGAATAATTTACTTTATTTTCTTCTTTCTGGACATCCATTTGTGCCAACTATCACTCACACCAGCAAATTTCAAAGCTAGGTATTATACAGTATAGTTGATCCGTGGTTTGTGCTGTTGGCCATCAAAGCATACCTTGTCAGTAATTGGCTTTTGCAAAATGCACTGCAATGGGTTCTGCATTTTCAAATATTTTTTTAATATGTAATGCTTAATTTTGATTTTAAAAATGTACTGTCTGGAAGATATACAATAGACCACAAAACTTCAATAACTTATTTTTAGATTATGTCTTCCCATTATCATTAATGGCTTCTTGATTTGATGTATTTTGCTTCGAGTTTTGGCACTCATAAAAAAAAGCTGCTTTCAGGAGCTGTTTGTATGACAAACACGACAATCTGCCAGGGATGAGCAACAGGGATATAGTGCGGGTAAACCAACTGTTGTTTATGTTGAGTAGAGAGGAAGCACAAACAGGCTGACAGACAGATGGAGAAAAACTGGCTGGCAACAAAATGGGCAGAACGAAAAGTGTATTGATTCAAATACTGTGTGTGTGCGGAGGAAGACAATGAGGCAATAAATGAGTAGAAAAGAGAACAACTGAGCACAATATGGTTGCAGATTTAAGATGAGCTGAAATTTAAGGTAACTGAAGAAGAAACGTTAAAGCAAAAGTTTGGAGAAATTAGATTTAAGTTTTTAACATGTTTTCTTGTACAACAGATTCAGCTCATTGCACAGGTAATTCTCTAACAGATCTGTTTACTGTGGGACTGTAGGTGTGAACAATAAAATATTTTAGTTCATGTATGCCCTCTCCTCATCTTTAGAAATTAATACAGTGTCTTTAAAGCCCAGTCTGTAGCAAGTACATGTACCAGGACTCAGGTTTTATACTGTGAAAGATTTTTGTTCTGGCAAGATCTGTTAGAAGGAAAGGTGTTTTTTTTCTAGATCTCAGTGTTTAACCCTCACTAACTATATCTTTTTTCCTAAAAACTACCAACAATTTTAATGGAAAACCAATAAGATGACATTAAAGATACAAAAACAGAGTTATGGAAAATGAGATTTAAGCCAACCTAGTGCTGTATGAGTAATTCTAAAAGAATATTATGATTGAGTGAATCAAATTCATCACTTAGGTCTAACAGGACATATACAGAGAGAGCGCCATTATCTGAGACCATGAAAATATCATTAGTGATTTTCCCCAGTCCTGTTTTATTGCTATGATGAGCTCTAAAAGCTGACCTTCACTCTTTAAACAGGTCTTACTTTTAAAGCTCCCACAAATGATTATTAACTAGCTTCTCAAGGATTTTAAATAAGAAAAGTTGTAATATGGATAGATTAAACATATATAAAATCGGGATGGAAATTAGAGGAATACTTCCTCAAACAATTTGGTTGAAATAATTATATCAATGCAATACCATATTTTCTTTTTTTTTTTTTTTGTACATCCTCCTTGTTCAACAAAACATCAAATGCAGTAACCATGTCCAGTATTTACTCTTATCTTAGGCTCAAAGAAAATTTGTTGGTGAAGGTGAAATGGCTGTATTGCATACACAGGTGTACTCATGCACTCATGCATTAGCTTTGGTTAGTTTTCTCCTGATAAGGATTTTTGTTGGGGTTCAAAAGTTTCACTTTGTTTTTTTCAGTTGCATTTTGACTTATGTCATTTTGGGTTTTCTAGGTCATTACTTTCATTTTTGTTTAGTGTCATCTAAGTTATTTTCTAGTTATATTTAAGCATTCTTGTGTAACTCTCTGTTGCCACCTAGTGCCAGTCACATTTCCCTTAGCTCCCTTCCTTCTAGAACAGGCATGCCCAAAGTCGGTCCTCGAGGGCCGCTGTCCTGCAGCATTTAAAGGTTTCTCTGCTTTAGCACAGCTGATTCTGATGATTGCAGTTCAGCAAAAGCCTGTTAATCAGCTATCAATGTAAATCAGCTGTGCTGAAGCAAGGAAACCTCTAAAACCTGCAGGACAGCGGCCCTAGAGGACCGACTTTGGGCATGCCTGTTCTAGAACCTTCTGTCCACACCTGCTCCCAATCAATTGTTACTCCATTCATTGTTCTGTTTGCCATGTATGTGCATCCTCTGCAGTAACTTTTAGATTTTTTCATTCCCACCTTAACCCTATATGTTTCCCTTTGTTCTGGTTTTGTTGTGTTACTTTATTATTTTTTTCTGGATTTATGCTTGCCACCATTCTTATTATTAAATCAGCAAGAAACAACCTCTCTCTTTTTTTTTTTTTTTTTTTTTTTTTTTTTTTAAACAGTGTCCTGTCTGGCAATTTGGCAATAAGAATAATTGTCTTGATGCCAAAAAGAGCCCAACAGATTTGACTTTCACAATTGTAGCAGTATGGAAAAACAGAAGAAGAAAAGGAAAAAAGAAAGAGAAAAGATGAAAGAAAGAAGAGAAAGGAGACAATGACAAAACATTTTCAGTCAGCTTCAGAAACAACCTCTCTGCATTTGGGTCCTCTACAAATATCCATTCAACTTGACATAAACACTATATTGGCGCACTATATTGACACAATGGAAGCATTAATCATACTCAAGGAATAGAATAAACATTAGAGATAATTTCGAAAGCAGAATTGAAAACAATAATGATCACAAAATCTCTAAGCCAGTCTTTACTTCAACACATGGTTCTGCCTTTTGTAAATATATATCATTCAATAGACTTTAAAAGATGTTTCACAGCAATACATTTTTTTTTTGGTGGT